AAATATCTTACCTTTCACAACATTATATTTGAGAGGAATAAGATACAATATGAAAAACTTTACATTGCATATTCCATAGTTTTTATAAGTTTTAGCAATAAAAAGTCATATTTATTCTGGATACTATGTTTAATAAATACCCTACAGTGTTTAAAATTCGGAGAGAAACTGTAAGAGAGTAATGGGCGTAACAACCGGTTACTCGATTTTACTCTAAGAAAATATTGTTGTATACCAAATATCAGAAGTAAAAAATTACTGCCCACCAGCGGTAAACTCACTTGTTACGTTTTAACAAGAATTATATAAAGAAAAAACCAAATTTTTTCTGTTTGCTGCTGCCCTTATAAGACAAAGATATCTCTAAGAGGGCTTTAGTAGTTAGGACTTGTTCAATATAAAAAAATATGTAATAGATATAAAAATAAAACTGTATTCAAAAACATATTTTTGAAAAAAACTGGTAGTAATAACAATTTAAAAAATTAATATTCTTTTAGTAAACTTTAAGGTCTAACATAGGTATGGCCCAAACAACTTTTGTTGATGTTACGATTTTGATGTTACTATTTTTACTGACGGAATGAAACTAGGTCTGTGAATCCTTTGACGCGCTTGAAATCAACAACCAGTAGGGGAGGAAGCAAAGATGTCTTTCCTTAAAAGTGCGGAGCAGTCTAAGATGTGTGAAGCTCAGGTGGCTAAGCCTTAAAGTGACCATTGGCGAGAAGCGGGAAGCTGTTGTTAAAGCTGGAAGTGTGAGATAAAGACCCGGCTTCCTACCCTTCTATCAGTGATATTGTGGAGGTGACAAGTTTTCAGTTTTGTTGTTTTATTCGAGAGAGTATCTCTCTTGAGTCAGCTGAGTAGAAGTGGAGGAATGATGACTTAAGCCTTCTTTAGCAAAGCTATCAGCTATTTCATTCTTATAGATGTTAAGAAGTGAAAGGATCCAATGGAAATGAATATCATGTTGATTGGAGATGAGCTTTAATTTGTTCATAAAACATATAGTTGTTGTGTCCGTTTGGTCAGGTGTTGAATCATGCCGCGGCTGTCAGTAAGCATCAGAAGATTGGTATGGTTACCTTCATTCAGGGCAGGGCATACAATTGTATGACATACAATATTCTGTTATTTGTAAATGTGTTTAATAATTTCATGGGTAGATATAATGGCTGATATTGTTTTTAAAAATAATAACTCATTGAAAGTACAATGTAATGGATAATATATTCTGAAAATCGTGCAAAACGGCAATCAATGTTATGAACACATGCATGCGCCTTAGAGTTCTGCTATTGCGGAAATTCGGCGTTTAAAAGTGGAGGAAAAGTGAGGGATATGGATGGCTACTGAGGGGACAGATTCCGGTCATTTTTGTCTACCATTGTCATGCGAATTGTAACAGAATTTCAATGAGTTTAGTTATAATTGTTAACTTATTGCAAGTAATATTAAAACTTAAAAAAATCATAAAATCCACCAGATGCTGGTATTGAGTAAAATCTACCAGATGCTGGTAGTGAATAATCAGAACAAGTCAAAGCCAAATGTTGTTATCCCGTGGTAACTATTGTAGGAGTAGTTATCTTTATTCTACAAGTTTTACTGTTCAATTGGCTATTAATTTTTAACCGTTAGTGTCGTAAGTGCATCTAGTTTGCCCTTGGTGTTGCTAAAATGAGCAAATATGGAAGCTGGGAGCAAATTGTAACCCTGGTCACCAGATGAACAATGTTTCTAACTTTAATGTTTAAAAAATCCATCCAATACGGTTTGTTTCAAGGCTGACGGCTTGAAACAGTTCAAATGTCCATGGGTGAATAACAGTATTAAGAGGTACGCACTAATGTTGGATAACGGTAATGTCTGCACACGGATCACAGTGGGTTTAAATTTCTGTATTATTGTTATAGTAACAAACTTATTCGAGTGAGTAGATACAATTTAAAGAATGACAATCATTTTCACTAAGAAGTACAGATCCTGTAGTTGGAATGTTGGGATTTGCGCTGCGTCGAGAATCTGAATGATTTGACTTTTTGGCAATAAGTGGTTCATTATTGCAAGAACTATGTGTTTATGGCAGACGGGAGCGGAATATTCGGTATGTTGTTAGATTCTTGAACAGAGAGTAAGGAATATTGTGAATGGGCTTTAGGCGAACCTCTTTGAACTGGACGTAAACTGCACTTAAAAGAAGAATGGTCAATTTGTTCACGTAGCCAGCAAGTAATATCTTCAGCAGAGAATTGTTAAATAAAAATAATGCGCGCAGCCAATAGGCTGCCTTCCTCTAATTGGATGGTATTCCATTCAAGAATTATTGCAAATAGTTTAAATATTGTGCATAGCCTTTTTATCCATTTTTTAGCTGCGGACATCAGTAGGAGGGGGGGGGGTTCACCAGCCATGATTGAGATGAATAAAATACTATACGAAAAATTTTACTTTGCATACTCCGTTGCTTTAAAAAAGTGAAGTAAAATAAATAAAATATTCATTCTGGACACTATGTTATCTAGTATAATAAATACCCTATAGCATACCTGCCAACTTTTACGCATTTGGCGTAAAATTTAATTTCAATATTTAAAGTGGTAGTAAAATGTATGTTTTCTATATATTCCTTCCATTTATAAACCTAATTTAAAATCTTTTTGACCACCACTAGTTTTAAAAACTTTAAGCATATATATTACTATGAAATATTGTCGTATAAGTCCACATAAGCTTTATCCAAAAACAGCATATATTTTGGCCTAAAATTGTAATTTGAATTCGAATTTACTACCACTGGGGAAAATCATCCGCGAAAGGATTAAAAGTTGGCAGGTATGCCTATAGTGTTTACAATTTTGAGTGAAACTCTATGAATGAAGTAGGCGTTACTTTCATTTCAGCGCTTATTCGAAGTAAAACGGTCGTCTACTCGTTTTTTTACTTAGAAAATGTTGTTTTAGACCAAATATCATAAGTGTAAGCGGTCCGGACAAATGGCTTGACAAAGTATACATCCTTAAATATCTTGAACGAAGATTCCCAAATGTCTCTATTTCAACCTGTCCTTCCAAGAATGTGTGATCTCCAAGAGGGCTTTTAATCTTTTCGGGACGGTCGAGTCACAAATGTAATCGTATTGAGGCAGAATCTGGATGGAGAAAAAATAAAATGACGTAGCGTAAATTTAAACTATTCTTATTTTTTCTAATTAAAAGGTCTTATTTTTGCTCTCCCTTTAATTTTAACTATTAATGTTAGTTCAAAGTGTTATTATATAATTCTTATTTTGAATTAAGTAGTGATATATTAAGAAATCAAACAATTCGTTCATGGGCTGAAATAGTGGCACAACTGAAAAAAAAACACGAATTTTGGACTAAGAACAGGTGTAAATATGAAAACATATTCCTTCAGCAGCAATATAAGCACAACTCATAATTCAACTTGAAGGTAATCTTCAAGTTGAATTATGAGTAGGTTGAATTAGTTGAATTAGGATTCAATACAGTTTACGCAAACTAAAGCATTTTGATTAGCAATGAAAACTTTAAACTCACTTATCTCAAAACATTATTTTTTTTAGTTGTTCCGCTTTGTTGCCCATGAGCCAATTATTACCCCGCACACAAATAAATTGCTGTAGAAATATTTTGTTTACCAGCTCTATTTTTTTGACCCTGACTGCCGCCACCCTGAAAATGCATATACAGGGTGGTCCTAAAATATATGTCAAAAATGTAAAGGTAGGTAGAGGGGACCTAAATAAGCATATTTCGTATAGGATTGTGTGTGCGGTGATGCCGCCTTGAGCCAGTAGGGAGCGCTGATGACTCCGGCGTATAAAAGCGGATTCATAATTTCCCGCACTGATCTGAAACAGCATGCATCNCAGGTACGAATCCTAATATTTTGTTTACCAGCGCTATTTTTTTTACCCTGACTGCCGCCACCCTGAAAATGTATATACAGGGTGGTCCTAAAATATATGTCAAAAATTTAAAGGTAGGCAGAGGGGACCTAAATAAGCATATTTCGTATAGGATTGTGTGTGCTGTGATGCCGCCTTGACCCAGTAGGGAGCGCTGATGACTCCGGCGTATAAAAGCGCTTGCTAGCTGGATTCATAACTTCCCGCACTGATCTGAAACAGCATGCATCGTTTCACCAATGCGAAGCTTGCCGACGTGCATTTCATGTATGGGCTGCACAAGGAAACAGATTAGCTGTTCACAGGATGTACAGGGAGCGTCAGAAATCACCTGGACGCTGTCTACGGCCAGCATTGGATAGGACGGGGTGATCCAGTTCCCTTGCCACCGCGTTCTCCTGATTTAACCTGCTTGGATTATTTCTTTTGGGATCATATTAAAAGCCTGGTGTACGAGAGTCCCGTCACATCTGAAGAAGATCTTGTTGAACGCTCGTCTGTTGCTGCTTTACATGTGCTCGGCAAGCCTGACGTCTTTTCTAATGCACGCCGATCCATGCGTCGTCGCTGTGAATCTTGTATCGTTGTTGGTGGCTGCTCTTTTGAACCCCTATTGTAAACTGTTGATAAATTTTTATTTTCTTTTGTCTTTTCAGTTTCCTTTGATTCATATTGCTTTACAAGCTAGAGCTTTAATGTGCCATTACTGCACACACATTTCTTCCGAAATATGCTTATTTATGTCCCCTTTACATTTTTGAAGTATATTTCTGGACCACCCTGGTTATTGCTCAGTCATGTTACCATTCCAAACCAATGGCTGAGGACTATGAGCGTTTGATTTGTGTACGAAAGTTTTCCTCGAATTTTTGAAGAAAAAAAAACGAAAAAAACAACAAAATATATTTCTTATTAGTTTAACTGGTAGATACGTATGAAAAAAAAGAAATTTTATTTTACAAGTGGTTATTTGTTTTTATGTATTTCTACCTGATGAAATTGTGATTAATTACGTAAATCTGGTAGACTGTTCATGGATTAAAAATTATTTAACAACGTTTCATAGTTTTTTTTCACTTTTAAGTAGTTTTATTTTACTGAACATTTTATTTTTTAAAGCGATACAGTATCATTATACAATGGCAGATTCCAGACATTTTTTCTCTCCCAAATTAACAGCTGTGGAGAATTTGGTGAGCTGCGTAGCACAAAGACAGACACGAAGCCACGTGGAACATAATTAATTTAATTATGCATCAAAGTTTGCCAGAAACAGGCGGAGTTAACAAAAATATAACACAGTTACAATAAAATACATAAACAAATAATAATTCTAAGTTAGGTAAAAGACGTTGGCGAGAAAGAACTATATTTCAAGAAATTTGATGTGTGAAACGGCACTTAATTTAATTAACTTCAAATTAATTAAATACGGTGCTGTATCATCCATCAAATTATTTGAAATACAGTTTTTTCTCGTTAATTAACATTTTAACTTGTGTGGAAAAAATTAGCTCAACTTTGAAACGACAATTTGCTTATAACGATGCTGACGTCATAGATCATATGTGTGAGTATCAGTGATCTTTTCCTTCTTGCAGTGCAAGTAACCAATTGTCTGATATAAAAGCTAATTTAAAATAGTTAATGATAAAACGATGAAAAATGCCATCCTCCTCTATAAATATTATCAAAATAACGCTGACTTTTATAGGTTAATACGTTTACTATTGTCTTTTTATACTTTAGTTATGAAATTGAGTTTCCGTCGAAAAAACGTTGATCGTATAGGGTTCTGGAGTCGAAAAATATTTGGGAATCACAGTACCATAGAACACTAAAAATGTCAAAGATAAATCGTTACACATGGAATTAATTTCATTTATCTTATTAACCCTAGCTTCACTAAGTCATGGTTCTAGTCATGGTTTCTCTCTCCACAATGATAAGTCAAGAGGCTTTATTTTTAGACATGCTGTAACAGGATTACTGAAAATAGAATAGACAAATTAATTAGTTTCTCAGCAACTATAACTAACAATGATATTTGCAAGATAATTGTTTGTAGTTTTCAGTTCTAGTACTAAATTTCAAAAATACGGTTGAAAATAACTTTCACTAACAAGATATTTAAAGCCGTGGTGGCTTCTGGGATAGAGCACTCACCTCCCAATGAGGTATCGGATTCGAATCCCAACGATGACTGGTCACAAAATCCGTACACGCCTAACACCCACTACAGTGCTGACATAAAATATTCTCATTGGAAGGGGGATCACGTGTTAAAGTCCCCTTGCCTTCAAGCTAACATGGGAGGTTATCCTCCCATGTAACTCAAATGCTGGTTAGCTCAATCAAATAGACCTCCACGCAGGTAAGTTTCTCCCAATATTTGATGCAAGAGTTCCATTGTCTTTTGGATTGGGTTCAAAAATACAAGGGTACGGAGTTTAACATTTATGAACTCAGAATTGCGTCGGCTGATCAATAATAGTTATGTAATATAAAATGAAATAACAAGAAATTGAAAATATTTAAGCTTATAAATAATAATGCATATAAAAAATAAAATTCCAGTTAATATATGTAAGTTTTTCTGGTTTATGTATGTAAGTTTGTTTAACTTACTTTTTCCCAGGTACAGCAAATGGGTATCTACGAACTTTATCATATCTTGTAGTGTCACAAAGCCAGCGTGCCACAGAGAAAGATTTAATAGTTTCCAGTTGATCTGAAAAATATTTGAAATGAATTTACCTTTAAGAAATTAAATTATATACCGTAAATTTTGCCCCCTCTTTGTTATATTAATGAAATTTAAATCAGTAATTAGTCTTAAAAGTGGTCTGATTGGACTACCTTATAAGAATCCGTGTGGAGGCTCTTAGTTATAGGAGGCGTTCACCGACCACAATGCTGATGTAAAATATCCCCAGTGGTAGACTGATCATGGGTTAGAGTCCCCTTGCTGTCGAGCTAACCGTAGGAGGTTTGGTGGTTTTTCTCTCCATGTGAGGCAAATGGGAATTAGATCCATCAAATAGCCCTCCTTGAAGGCTAGTTTCTCCCAAAGCTTGATACAATACTTCCCTTTGTGTTATAGTCAGGGATCAAAATTACACTGCTATGGATTTGAATATTGGTTGCCTTCAATTCAGAACTGAATCGGTTTTCAAGGCCGGTAATAAATATATTTGGTCAAGTTTCAGAGAGCAAGAAAAAGAGAACACCCGAATATTTTTCGATTTCAATGATCGGATTTTCACGTACTAGGATTCGCTGATTCAAGAGCATAACTCTATGAGTCACTGAATTTGTGTAGATGATATTTACAGCACATAAACGTACTTTTTCTGAATAAACGCATTTTTTTTTACATAGGAATCGCATTCTTTACCCGAATAGTATGGGTTTAGGGGGTAGTCGAAATCAGAAAAATATGTTCCCAATAATTTAGGTCAGAAAATAGTCAACTATTTGGACTTTTTAAAGTCAGTTTTTTTTAAATGTATTTTGCCTTATATCAGAAACTGACGAAATATATTAAAATATTTTGCCTCAAAGATAAAACGAAATCATCCCCAGACTATTTTATGTGAAATATAATATTTTAGGATAATTTATTATTTTTTATTACTTAATTTACTTATTGCAGAAAGAAAAATTTGAATTGTATGGCAGGTAATTATTTACACCGAATTTATTTACATTATTTTATACGACAAAATCCAAAATTTCAGTAAAATTAATCGGATTAAAAAAAAATTGAAAACTCATCAGTAAGGATTGATTAGACTTTGCAAACGATTTTTCTCCCTCTCAAGCTTTTGCTTATGGGTGGTGCAGCTGATTTTCCAAAATAACAAGTGCTATCAGGCACAGCAGGCAAGAGGTTAAAGAGTTCGTGAAAATCAATGTGTAAGATTTTGTACGATTTCAAAAATGTAAATTTGAGACTGTCATTTTGGTATACCTTGAATATTTCAGACAATAAATATTACATTTTTTGTTGTTTCAGTGAGATTAATTTCAAGGATTATTTTTAAAAAGGGTATTAATAATTAAACAAAAATAATCATAGTTTTCTAAAGGAAAAGCATAAAACAACTTCCATTTTTTTCCCTTTACCTTTTGTGAAAGGATACACGATAGATATGTCTGTTATTAAGAATTCTATGAATCTTCAATTGCACATTGTTGGAATCTTGAGCATAAATTCAATTTCGACTATGCCAAAATTACTTCCACTCGAGTCACATCAGCTTATCTTGATGCCCTGGAATCTTGTTTTATTCATATGAATGGTGATTCTCTTGTTAACGACATTAGTTCTTCGCCACCTCTCGGCATAGCGTGTGAAAATATATTTTACCCTGAGTTGTCCGTCTCGGCCACTGTGGTTTTTCTTCTTCTGTTTTTCATCCTTTTTTTCACGTACAGGACGTTGGGCTACCGAAGAGGGGATGCCATCCCCTCTGTAGAGGATCAAAATTGTGATGGCATGTCTTCGGGTCATCCTCAGGGATGTGTCCCAGACTGTCGCCAATAGCCCACTGTGCATCCCTAGTACGACGTAAATGAACTACAACATCATCCTTTTTTTTCTCTCTCGGGTGCAGTGGTTTTTTTAGTTTTATTTTTCCATTTTCCTTAGCTTTATTTTTCCATTTTTTGTCGCCAACTTTACGTTTTTTCTTTCAAATTATTCTTGTTTCTTTTCATTCATGTCTGGCAAATCTTGAAAATGGGTGCCTATTTTTGAAGCACGTCGAAACATGTCGACTGTTGTTTCTTATTTCTTAATTTTGAAGCGAATGAAGTTTTAAATCAGGTAATATTCTTAATTAATGCAACAAGTTGCAAAAAGTGCTTTCAGATTTTTGAAATGCTACTTTTTATACAAGAGTAAAACGAGGAGTAACGCTTAAGTAAAAGATAAAAGTCCCGTGTACTATTCAGTTTTTTAAGTTCATTTATGACGTTATTGTCTTTATAATCAAACAATATAAATGAATTAATAAAAAAATAATTATTTTGCTATATTAGGCAAAATTAACGGTCACTCTGTCAATGAGGTAACGAATGACATTTTCGTCGAAAAGGCAACCCATTTGCATTTATTGAAATGTAATTTTTTAATAAATATAGAATTATTTTGAATGATCTCTTCCGAGGATAACTTTATTTTCTGTTTGTTTCTTAAAATGTTTCGATATTTTACAAGTGGTTGTTTTAATGTTTACCATATTTTGAGAAAAGACCATATTTTACCACATTTTGAGAATTTTTTTAAAGAAAAGACTCGTGATTTAAGAGCATTAGTAGTCATGAACTTCTTGTTAAAATTTTTGTCAAATTTTCAAACTGTTCATGTTTTGAATTTCCCCTTGTTTGTAGATGTTTCTTAACGGAAGCCTCGCTGTAACCCTTCTATTTGAAATTGTATCTGTTTTCATTGGCTTTGTGCAATTTCATCATCACAATATGTTCGCTACTTTTATTCAATGTTTTCACTGTTTTTATTCTTCTTTGCTGGATGCTCCACCTGTTATGCCTGAACACTCAAACCCCTAAATTCTGTTTACTGAGTAACTGAGTACTGAGTACTTTTGTTAATTTTAAGGTTGCACTAAAATTTTTGCGGCTTTCTGGTTGGGAGGAGGGAATCTTTGGATCGTGTTGAGTTTGTTGCTCTGCGCGCCAGGGCGCCCAGCCAACATCACTCAGGGTTTTTTCTGGTGTTGCTTTTGCCTCTCTTGCCCATTATTCCGACCTATTGTCATGGATCGTCACAAAACCTACCTTTGTGAATTCTCTTTTTTTTTTTGCTGAGTAGTCACGTGCGCGCACTTTGAGTCTACAGTATTTCCCGGATGCCCCCTGACGGGGGCGGAACGGGGTTAAGCTTTGATTAGTAGTCGTGAACCTAAAATTGGGTCGGCTGTTCTACGACGTTTGTAAAATAAAATAAGATAGCCCATTGTGCACCTGTAGTGCGATGTAAGTAAAATACCCACCTACCCATCCATCGTTCCTGAAACTTAACAACATTTGGAAAGCAATTAAATTACATTGCGACTATAAAAAGTATGTTTCAAATTTTTTCTCCCATTGATTGGGATAATATGCTTCTTACGTAAATTTTATTTCACGATTGAATACTTGAGTTGTTTCCTTGCCGTATTTGCAGTACTGAACAAACAATATGAGTAATACTGAAGCAATACTGAACTGAACTGAATAGCAGTACTGAACAGAAGTGATGAAGCATTACTGAACAGAAGTGATGAAGCATTACTGAACACAAGTTATGAAGCAATATTGAACACAAGTGACGGAGCAATACTGAACACAAGTGATGGAGTAATACTGATCAGAAGTGAGAGCAATACTGAAGATGATGCTCCTGTATAGTATCAAACCTTGCATGATTTTCATTTGCGAACTTTTAACGTCACTTTTTGTTATTTACTGACATAAATATTTTCTTCTCAAGTGTGTTTAAAATGTCACTATATTAAAATTTCACTAAAGCATTCAACAATCACATTTGAGGGTGAAAAACAAAAATCTTACTCGTATATTTTCTTCAGAAACTCGACACTATCTTGTGACATTCTGTTTAAGAGATCAGAAAATGTTTCGATCCTGGTTTTCCCCTCTGAGCACTTCTCAACCACGTCGGTGTAGCTTGAGAGTCCATGATCTCGCCCTCTTTGGATGTTGATAGCAGCGATATCAATTCCGAAAGATGCTTTGGGTGGTCTATAAGTGGGAAAATAGTTTTAATTGACACTATAGTATTTTCGGTTAAAAACATTAGAGAAACAAAGAAAAAAGATGATGCAAAACGATGATTCCTCCATTAGCGACCTTAATACGAACACAAGGTTCATGCGGTCCTTAAAAATTTAAAAAAGAAGAAAGGTACACTTCGAAAAACTGTATTCTCAACTACGCTTAATATTTCTAAGAAAAAAATTAACTAGTTTCGAACTTTAGAGTTTAGTTTTTTTAATTTGAAAGTGCGTATAAATAAAAGAAATTTGTAATTTTTTTCTTAAAATTGAAGTATCGAAAGTACTTTTAAAAATTTTAAACCCATATAAACCCTGAAATACATTGATTTTGGTACGAAAGTTTTCCTAATTGCAATGAAAAGATATTAGTATTTTTTTTTTTTTAGATTTTACACAATATTACTGTAAAAGTCCGAAGTCGAGTGAATCCTAGGCTTTACTTTTAACTTTAGGATTTACCAAAACTGCTTTAGGATTTACCGAAATATACTTTTAATACGACTTCATTTCGGACATTTACATAGCCTATGCGGTTAAACGGAGAGTTACCAACACCTTCCGGTATGACACCAAAACGAGGAATTATTTATTATTGAATTTTTAATTCTCATATATATTGTGTACTGATTCATTATAGGGGACAAAAACATCGCCAACTGTAGGACAGCATATTTGAGACCATAAAGGTAACCCATTCCCTATACAAAGCAATGTCACTTAACTCTAAAAAAACAACCAGTATATGTATAGTATACCAATCAGTTACAGTTAAGTTATATCAACATTCATCATCGGGTATACTGGATCGTGGCACTTAACCTTAAAAAAACAATTT